CGGATTAAAAATACTCATTAAAATATTTCAAAAGAATGGTTACTGAAAAAGGAATACTCTTTTCGATAACCTGCTTTTCATCAGGTTCTACAGTTATATATACATTATAGTGAATGAATGAATTAGTGTCATTAACAACATTATTATTGTTTAAATAACATCGAATCAATAAAATCAATAGATTACAGTTCAATGGCAACAACATAACTATACACTGAATATCAAACAGACAAACTTGGAAAGATAATAATACAAATTCATGAATTTACGGTCTCTACTGAAGGCTGGCCAGGGCACTAGAGACTTTATGTATCATCTACTGGGTACCAAATAAATTACCAAAAACTGCAAGGTACTACATACTCCAAACAGCATGGGCTGTCGTGATTCACGTGAAACAACCAGCGCTTTGTGTGCAAAAGAAGCAAGTCCAGCCACTACTACTGCCCTGAAAGGCTTACACTGGAGACTATAAATTCATGAATTTGTATTATTATCTTTCCTAATTTTCCTGACATTCAGTTTATTATTACGTTGATGCCACTGAACTGTAATCTATTGATTTTATTGATTCGATGTTATTCAAACAATATTAATGTTGTTAATGACACTAATTCATTCATTCACTATAATGCACATATAACTGTAGAACCTGATGAAGAGCAGGTTGTCGAAAAGAATATTCTTTTGTTAAATAAACCAAGTTCTCATTTATATTTCAATCGTTAGACTTCGTCAAGAACTTACATCAGACGGAGATCATCGAAAATAAAGGAGCACTGGACAGCTGTCTTATTCTAGTTCGAGACTTTTCAGAAGTTCATACGCAAGACCCCAGCAGAGGTGAAATTCAAGACCTACAGGTGGCGAGACCAAGCTGATTACCCATTCAACCACTTGAGCTGGAATTCTTTGACCTCTAAATTCCAACTTTTTCAGTTTGTGAAATAGCACTACCGTCAATCAACGCCTTCCATGGTCATCCAGTTCACCCTGACATGATGGAAGCCATTGACGAAAACTTCTCACCACAGCTCCAGGACATTCATTCATTAGCCAACAATGAGATGGAGATTGGATTTTTCAGGATTTGTAGTAATTTCAGTTGTTAGATTTCGTCACGTGCCACCATCATTTAGAGATCACTGAGTTCTGGGAGCTCTGGAAAGCTGTCCAGGTAAGGGGATATTCACTGAAGACATTAGCGAGGTTAGCGCTATGTCATGAGAACTGACAAAAGTTAGAATTCAAGGGTCAAAGAATTCCAACCCGAATGGATGAATGGTCAACGAGTTCGGTCTCGTAACCTGAAGGTATCGACTCCGACCCGTGGTAGGATCGAGGAAGCGCATCGTTGAAGAGTTCCGAACCGTAACGAAACATTTTTCCAGTGCTCCTTGGATTTTAGTGGTCTCTGACTAATGTTGGTTCGCAACTTAATCTAACAGTTGAAATTAATTCAAACGTCATGATCTAAATTTTATCTATACATTGCCTACAGATATATATTTGGTTATAAGTGAGTACATTCAGCTAATCAGTCCAGAATTATACTGCTAGCTACCTAATCTTTCTAATATATTTATTTTTTATTTCAGCTTGATTCCACACCGTATTTTTTTTCTACAGGTATGGAATTTTCAGTATGTGATATAGGTAGCCCAAATTTTGCAGGCTGACCATAGATATCAGGTGTGCGTCGGCAGAGGATCGAACCCCGGACCATGTGCATGGTCAGCGACAGTCCTAACCACTGTGCCACAGTAACTTCATAGATTGATGCCGAACAGTTTTGATACTTTTTTAACCACCTTTAATGAAAACACGATACTTTCATCAGTCGTTGACTAGCTGTGTTTTGTTTATGGACTACAGTGATTTCTTACAACTATATTTGCTCCGGAAAAGATTTTTATATTTTAATTATTAACCGCTGAAGAATTCAGCGAACAAGAGATTAAAAAATTAATTTCAGTCTTTCTCTGGAAAGGTTATTAGTTTGACAACGCGGTAATTCCGTTAGTCCGAGTGAATATTTCTATGTAGGGTCTGCAGTCACGTCCTACTATTGACAATGATTCGATGCACATCTTAGAAGTTGAAAATACTGTGAGTTTGTATTAGCGATAAAAACAACTGACAAATCCATTTTTTAGAATACATTGTAAATTATTAACTGGTTGCGGAAGTGATTTGAAGCTGTGAAAGTCAAAAAGTTAAATATCATGATGGAGTTGTCTTTACTTCTCACAGATATGCCGGTAGACTATTGGATCTACAGTGCGCTGGCTGAGGGCTATCGACCAGTAGTGCAATGTAGTCCTCAAACTAGGTGTTACGATATTTCCTTTTAATATAGTTTTCATGCTTGGTATTGAAAGAATCATGTTGAATAGGCAGCCCTATTTGAACTAAGTTTCCTTTTTAATCGAGGTTCATCGGAAAAGCACGTCTACAACCTTCTGGAAAGCCATATTTCTTTATCTCTTAATAAACGCCCAGAGACTTTTGAACTCTATTACTGACTAACATGAACTGCAGTTTTTATTTCGATTTTCAGTAGTGATCTCAAAGAATACAAATATGATCATGACACTCCTGAAATCATTGGAGAAGTCACTTAATTATAGATTATTGTCAACCTGCATGTCTCTTACTAAAATAGTATTTGATTGATTTGATGTCAATTTTCTTAGAAGGGTTCTGTTGGTAGCTATTAAATTACGCCTTTTGCTTTTGAGATATCTACAACCTATTCCACGATTCACAAACTTGTTATAAATATTAATCTTTGGAGAGTTGCAAATATTTTGAATATCTAGTTTGTAGCAAAGTACGAAGATGAGAACTAAAAGTTCATCCTAGAAATATACAGAAAACAGAAAGAAAAATCTACAACCAAGTAAAGTTTCCATTGTGAAAATGTAGGGAGCAGTTAATTTATGAACCTTCAGAATAATCACCTGATCAGCTGGACAGTGTACTCTTGATCATAGAAGTCATCCCTCGAAGGAATTTTTCTGGATAATGCAAAATTTACTCAGAGGCCTTACCAAATGGCAAGTAAATTCGCTTAAAAGCATTTTACGAATAACAGAGAGTGAATAGAATACAGAAGCTTAGACGAAAAGGCTGACCTCTCCATAGTTTATCTTCCAAATAGAAATTGAAACTAAATAAGAAAACACCGTGTTCAAAACTATCAACATAAATGCAGCCATTGTGTCGAAAAAGTCTTAACCATAGCTAAAATAAGAGTGTATAGGTTATCGTTTCCAAATGATCCCAGTTATTGATAGGGATGCTCGGATTAGGAACTCAGAGTCACCTCTTTGGTGGTGGCTAGGAGTATAATCCTGAGATAGCTTTGGATGACAAACAGTAACTGATGTAATCTGTAGTGATTAAAAATGAAACTATTAGTCCGCAGGTCACTGGTTCGAGTCTTGAGTCAAATTTTTGTTACAAAACTATTTATTCAACTTATAAATCAAGTGAAGAAGGCATTAAAACTTCCTCCTAAGAACCAAGTTAGTAATAAAGCATAACATTTCCTCAATAATACGTTAGGTGAAGTAAGAAAGGAAATTTAAAGTTCGTCGCATGGAAATTTGATTTTTTCTAGGACTAGCCAACAAACCACAATCAAAGATTTTAAGTTTAATCCTAAAAGAAAAAGAAAACCAGATATGTTAAAGGGAGACAGTGCGAAACGGTACAAACACCCAGTGTCTTTCAGTTTTCGTCAGATCTCTAAAAGGTATCGATTTGTTAGTGAAGTAATTCCAAATTAACTTATGCGATGTATTTTATTTGTTTTCTATTTTTGGTGGTCTGTAGTGTTAAATGTTTGTTTGCATAACTATGTAGGTGAAGTGATGGATGACCCGCCTATTTATCTACAGACATTTGTTCTGTTTCATTTAAAGGGCTTCTATAACGTTTTGGTCAGTTTACATTCAGTTATAAAGTCTCCTCTTTCGTAAATATTGTAGAAATTCAGACTGTTTCATTATTATTATTGTTATTAATATTATTATTAGTAGTAGTCGCAAATGTGACAAGTCAGTTGTCTTAATAAACTTGGCAATGATTAACCAGTAGATGCAGGTCTTATGAGTGAGGATTTCTAACTTTTATAAACTGAGAGCACAGAATGATCACCATGTAAGTTTATCTGCGGCCACAAAACCTCACAGCATAAGTACTTGACGTTAGATGTATTTAATTTGCCCTCATTTGCTAATGCGAGCTGAATTGTTATCTATTCCGGTTTTCAGCCGTTCTCCCCTGACTTCAACTCACATTAAACATTCTGTGAAATAAACGGTTAATTCTGTGAGAATTAAGAGGCATTTCAGCAAATTCGAAAGATGCAGGATTCCATCCTTCTTGGAAAAATCCAAAATGATCCCATGCAGTGTATAGATCATTACTAATTAATTGGCTATGCGATAGTAGATTTCACCACTAATGAATCTTGTTTGAAAGACTAATGATATACTATTATCTATCGAGGACTCCAATTTACGTGACGATTGCTGTAAAAAATTCATTATTAATTAATTGATTTGTATTTATTTGGTACAATGACCTAATAATGGATAACATCGAGTCCAAACAAAATTAATGTCGGACTAGTAGGTAGGGAAACTTAATGGTACATGATTTTGAAACCTTATTCATGAATGTTCATGAGTATCATTAAAAATCAAATATACTCCATCAAATCCTGTACACTTTACCGCGTTTCTTTATAACAGTAAACTCATTTGTTTGGTGTAGAAGCAAGTTCCTCAAATATTTTACAAATAGTCAACTCATGATTGGGAGAATGGTCACTCAACACTTCTTGAAGTATTCATTAAGCTAGTATAAACGAGGAAGAGCCTAACGAAGTAACGATAAAATCAAATGAGATAAATCTTTATATGTTTAAATCAACGATCATTTATTTACGTTTAATTAACAAAATTCAATGAGAAATCGTATTGCCGCAATCATTTCGGTGTAAAAGGACATTTCTTGTTAAGACCCAGTAGAGTTAATAGCGTCTTCTTGTATAAGCCTTCAGTCCTCCTTTTGATATCACTTTCAAGACTTGTTTTGTATATTTCTTGATATACAATCATGACAGTGTATAAATCAATCTGCAAAGAAGAGGAAAGGTTAAGCATGAAAGTAAGAATCTTGTTCAACTTTTCATTTGAAACGAATGTTGACGGAAAATGAACAATACAACTACATACTCAGTAGGAAAGATCAACAAATTCAGGTCGTCAGGTTTATACAAGAATGGATTTATATGGCTTCAAGTATCTCCATGAAGAGACATTAGTAAAATGGTTGCTGGAAATTGACTAGTACAAGACAGATGCTCTATCCTCTCTAAGGATTTCCATCCATGCTTTCCTACAACTCGTTTAAGACTGAAACGTGACGTGTTTTTATTTCATGTGGTGACCTGAATGTGCACATATAAACAATCTCAACATAGTACGAGACAGATAACCAGTACTTTACTGTTTTCAGTATTTCTGAAGCTGATATCAATGTCTAGGATATCTTACTTGAAATTGTTTAGAATTTTGACAATAAATGACCTGTAGAAAAAATTCATTGCATGATAAATAATAGATTTATGAAATAAGATGCTGTGTTTCATGCCACATAGAAATAATGCGTCTGAATGTCATGCAGATAAAATTCCAGTCAACGAATATCATCGATAACCTCCTTTTCACATTAATTCATTCGAATCACTTCTATCAATAAAGACAGGCATATCAACTTTCAGAAAGTGATGTTAATATGTCCTTCACGTGCAGTACCTAAACGTATTACGGTGTTACACCTCAACAGTCGAATGGTAGTAATCCTGTACCTACATATCATTTACCATCGCATTGTATGTACAACACATAATGCATATAATGACCCTATCAGACTATTAGGAGTGAATTCCCTGAATTCTGGAGTAAATATTCTAACGGTGTTTCAACAGGATTAATGCAACTGAAATAGGAAAGATGGTTAAGGCGTGGCTACTTTTATCAGTATCAAGACAAGGGACCAAATGAGGCAACAGTTGGGTCCACACAAGCTAGCCTCGTCGATACAAGACATCTAGTCAACACTTACAGATCTTTTAAAGTTATCTACCCTTTTTAATTGGAATTCATCTGAACAAGCTAATTCCATGTGTTTAAAAGAAATGCCTACACCCATTTTTTTAGCTGTGGAGTTTCATATAAGTTATATAGAGCCCAGCAGATAATTACCACCCTATCCTTGTAACTATCCATATGACGTTTTTATTTTATTATCTCGTTATGATTACTACGTTGGCCAGTTTAATTAACCTATCCATATCTGGCTATCCGCACAAAATCCATTGATCTATTTTTCGCAGTCAACATTACTTCACAAGCTGCTGATTATGTAGTGTGACTGGTTACTAACCTCCACAAATTTACTAATCTTGAATTCCATAGTTATTTTCACTCCTCTAATAAAACATAACTGGTAATTCTTATTGAGTAACGTCAACTCATGAATGCTATACTCTTTAATATTAAACTACTTATTAGCGAAGAGCGACTTATGAGGAACTAACCGAAAAGAAGAAATGTCTTTGCTCAGTTTCTTGTTTTACTAAATGTCCAAATGAAGATTTTTAAATGCTCTGAATATTCTTATCTTTTTGTGTGTTTGACAACGGTTATTACTGAGAAACAGCTCCGTATGACCTCGTCAAAGTGGAATGCGCTGTTTCAACGAAAACGGAAACTCAGTAGTCATCTGTTCATTTATAGAGAGTTTTTGTGAGTAATCGCTCTGAATTCGAGCATTTGGTTATTTGATGATAAACATTTTATCACATTAACGGAATTGTACACTTCGGTAATTAAAGAGTTCCAAATAATGGAGATTACGATTCTTGGACTTAAATTTCTGTTTGAAATATGCTGTGTCAACCATATCAGTAAGTTATAGTTATGCTTTTATGAATAATCAAATCAACCTATTGTCGAGATTTCATATTCCTCAGTTACTGCAGATTTATACGAGAGGTTAAGTTGTTCAAACAAATCAACTGGACATTATTCTCTTTATAAATTCAAGCATATTTTTTTCGATTTACATAAGCGTTTCTTACTTCGGATCTGGTAATTAATAACCGTGTCAAACGTCTTTTATTAACTGGAGTTGAAAACAAGGCGTCATGAATCCACTTGGCAGTTAATCGTGCTCGTTTTCTACCAGAGGACACTAAAACGAAGTAAGCAAAGGTAAAAATCAGTCATAAGTGAATTTATGTAGATAAATGTAAAGCGATATTATCCTTCATGTCTTGTACACTCGGATTTTTGCAAATAATAGATAAATGATGGAGATTTTATGCAATGACTTCGGCTGTATGGATGAGGTATTCTCACAATATAATACTTTGTACAGTCTGAACAAGTATACTGGACTTGAATGAATTATTAGATGTTATTGATCAAAATTTATCCTATGATGTTGTTTAACGAATACCACGCATACTTTCGAAGTGGCAGTCGAACTTATTAATTAATAACGCCATTTTGTTTTCTATACTCATATTGAAATCACTGATGAGTGACCGGTAACTTAGAGGAAGGTGTAAGCTTACCTATATTAGGAGTGTTAGACATTGTGGGAATCCATTAAGAGGAATAGAAATAGTGGAGTCATCTACTTATCCTTTTGCTTAACACTGTCATGTCACATTTTATCCTTTCGATAGCTCTACTGAAAGAAAACCCTGAAAATACGGGAAGATGAAAATCTGGCTGTTGGGTGGGTTTTTGTTTTCGTCAGTAGACTTCCAAACCACTGTCTTGGAGACTAATGCTTTCATTTCAGTGCTGACCGTCTCTTCTGCAATTTCGATGAAAGAGGGGGAATTAGGATTAATATCAGTAAAAAGTTTGAGGGGAATTAGGACTTGGTTGGTATATTGAAAGCCAGATCAATAATCCAAGCACACAGGAATTCATTAAAAATTGCAGGAAATATGAAATTTCAAATGGAAGACAAACCACAGTCGAAAATAAAACCTGCCTTTACTCAATTGGATTTTAAAGCTGATATTATTGCATAAGTAGTCGACAGAATACCTCACTAGCCAGAACCTAGTCTGCAGCCAGTTTGGTTCCCGTTTTTCGGACAAATTGCTCTGTGGTGTAATCAAAGGCCGGTAGATAATCTAATTATATTGGCTGTAACTGTAACAAATTTAGGTTTCTGAGGTAACAGATGCATTAGGTGATTAGAAAGTAGGACGCATCTTCTATCCTCTGAACATGTACCATAAAGCCTATGTATCAAGAGAACAAACTCTTTCAGTAGTGGCATTGTCAGACATCTCCTCGATACAGACCATATTCTGGACACTATGAAATTCTTTGAAATTATCAATAGACAGAATAGTTCTATTTTCCTCTAGCCTGTCGAAGCAACCGCTATCAAAGACCTTAAATCCGTTTAATGCGTTCAGAAGGAGGCAGTATCATTCTTCACTTGCTCTGGTAATTGGATATCTTGATTCCATCTTTTATTTCAATGTGTAATCTGTTGCTCTGACCTCTTCCCTTTCTTTACGATGAAATCTTGCTTGTCTGTTGTTTCGATGGTCTGAGTGGAAGTCACCAGATTGTCACTCAATTTATTAGTTACTCATCATCGTATCAACTTCTTGTTTTCATTACTCAACTCCTTTGCCATTGTAACCAAGGCCTTTCTGTGTACAAGCATCATAAGTGTAATATATTAGCATTGTTTATTAAGTTTGAGGTCTCCTGTCAACTAACAGTATGTGTATTAAAATTTTTCTATACATGAACCTAATTAATTTCTTTAATATGTACGCAGCTAATAAAGAGCGAATGAAATAAGCGATGATACCATTTCATTCTTCACAAACCGTTGTTCTTGCTTTATTCAAAACCAAAGACAGCTTTTTTGAATACTATTGTAGTGAGAGCTGGCTGTTAGTCAAAATTGGTGGACAGTAGTTTACGTCAATGTTTATATCCCCAATATTGATCGTGAGGAAAATGATAACAAAGGCTTTGCGTATGCGGATACAGTTAACATATCGATGATCTGATATTCAAGAAACAGTCACAAAGAGATGCAAGGTTATCTTTCTGTGAGAAACAACTAATCAGAAGACTGTTTTTCTGTTAACAATAATCTATAAAATGTACATGAAAATCTATAAATATGTGTTGATTTCCTTAATAAACGATCTGTTACCTGACTCTTGCCTTCTGTAGTTACACTACTATCAAAGTTTAAACTATCCTCATAAAATCAGTACATCATTCCAGTACAAATGTTATTAAAAATACGTATTAACAAAATAAGGTTACTTGAAGCAGTCTTTAGTCAACACAAGTTATCTATTACTTGAACCTTTAGACTTATGCACTTCATCACCTCTAATGCACTGTCTGCTGTTATTTAATTCAGACGTTTGATGCTGGCTATTATATGATAAAATTCATGGCTTTATTTATTTATTTCTGTAAAGCCGGCAGGACAGCTTACTGAAACACTCTGAAGCAATAGCTATCTGTAAAATTAAACCACCTTCCACTCTACCCTTCCAATTTTTACAGAAGCAATTTCTTACCACCATTAACTTATTTTGGTAATCCTTATCTCATAAAATTAACAAAAAATAGTGCACCGTGATGGCGAGCTATCTAGAATGGTGGCCACATTGCGAACCTGACTGGTAGAATTCAGTCTGAACGGAAAGAAAGGACTAGACACGTCACACTAGTTACTATTGTCCAATCAAAGTAGCAGAAGTAGTTTTAATTATCATCTCTCTTATTCTTAAAGATACTATCATTTTGCTTATTCTATTTGGCTTTTTATTGATCGTATAAGTTGATTTGATAGGGAAATGTGCGATCAGATTTTTTGAAATGTACATTTTTCTTTCAGATAAACTCCATCTTCTAGTAAGGTTATCAAAATTTATTAAAGGGACTAACTGATTTCAATCATTTATTTTATACACTAGGCTAGAAAGCAGTACCTTATTATAATCGTTCCCTTAGGTTCCGAATGGAACATTGGACTCCAACAGTATGTCACCACTTACCCCTGTTTTCTGAAGTCTTTCTCAGGTAGCACCACTTTTGCCTACAAGCTCTCATCTGACGCTCATATGACCTCCTCCATGTCACCGTTTTAAGCCTAACTCGCAATTCTGTATTCGAGCTCCACTTAAGGGCTTAGATAGCGATATCACCTTATGGTCACCTCAGTGTATTTCCGATTCATCCTTATTCCCTTCCGCATACTTGCTGGGTTATGCGTTCTTAGTTGGTTTATTGCTAGAGTTCTTTGTTGTTAAACCTTGTCAACCGGCCATTTGATATTCAGTACGAAGTCGGTGAAAGCACTCGTTGACAAGAGTGTAAAGCCTGTTAGAAATGCTTTTAGTGATGTGTCAAGTCACTAAATCATGCGGAAGTACTGAACTGACATTTGTGTTAAGCATCCTAATGTGCACTTAATGTGTAGGCAGTCTGTTGTGTCATAACCACTCCTATATTAAATATTTGCTGTAAACGTTTTTTGTAGGTGAAATTTGAGTAATTAATGAACTGACTTTCATATTCTCACACGTAAAAGGCACTAACTTAACAGGCAAGCATTGAAGTACGATGAACTCACTCATAGCAAGCAGAGTTTCTTTATAAAAACCGCTTGTTTTCTTTTGAATTGCATCTTCGAGTGATTCGCCGTATATCTGAAAAAAGAAGGAAGAAAATTGCTAAAATTTTATAAAACCCAGACTGATTTAGATTGATAGTGAAACTATCTGGGATATATATACAACGACGAGTTATTCATTTACTTGACTGCCAGGCAAAATCCATTTCGACTACAGTAAGATGATGTTTTATTAACATCTGGTTTCTGTAGCTCAGCTGGAAAAGCGATAGACTAGTAGTCCGGAGTCAGGGTTTTTGAATACTGTTGCCATTTATAATTTTATTTCACTTTCAGAAGTTCACATTGGTTGCAAGAAACGAATTCCAAGTTCCCTTAAGAAGTGACCCCAAACAGAGAACCATTGAAAAGCAGACAGTAATAGATAGCTTTTTCGTCCTGCTTTTTAAGTCTTCAGGGGCGCACACTCAGTAATATTTGGCTTTCAATGGTCAGTGAAGTCAGTTTGTCATCAAAATTGAAATCAATCAGAATCACTAATTGGAAGGGTAATTAATTGTTTCAGAGACAGGTTTTACAAAAGAGTGACTAAGTGGAAATCAAGGAATACTAAATGGTTGATTTGAGTTTACTTGACCCCACTGACAAATACACACACACACACTTTAGACACAACAAAACATTACCATGCAGCAAAGTATTAGGTAGCTGATATTCTTCATTTTACAGCAATTTTTGTTGAATGTATAACACTGTAAAAATGGCTTGAAACTTCCTTATTTTACCTAGGTCAATTTTCGTTTACGTCAGTTGTCTTTTGATAAATTACTGTTGAGTGATTCTTAATTCCTCCATCTAAGCCGCATGTGTAAAACATAAATGAATATTCGTAATTCACCTAACTAACTGATCAAATATGTATTAAAACGGATTCAAATGTGTGGGAAGGCAGGTTCACCAGAAATATAAGTACATGTGTTTGCTGAACGCGTCAGAGGTTGTCAGAGTTTGTGAAGTAGCAAGTTTATGGAGTATTACTAAAATTTAGGTGGGTAAATGACGCACTCAACAGTGACTTTTCAAGATTACAAAAACAGAGGAATTGTTATGAAATTGCTAATTCCTTGGGTGAATGACGCTCCTGGAAAATTGTGAAATTTTGTCAAAAAACCGTTAAGAAAAACAGTTTGCTGAATTCTGACGTCCCATACTCTCAACTTGTAAATGTAACTGAAACATGTGTTCAAATAATGGGCTAGAATATTTCAAAAAAAGTAAATGAAGACCAATGGCTGTTCTACAGATTATCCGTGTAGGCTTAACATATTATAAACAACTAATCCGGTTCAAACTATGAATAGTAATCCCAGCATTGAATAATCCTTCTCTATCATCTACCGGGTGCCAAATAAATTGCCAAAAACATCGAAGTACCACATGCTCCAAACACCAGAGGCTACCGGGATTTGCGTGAAACAGCAAGTGCTTTGTGTGCAAAAGAAGCAAGTCCAGCCACTACTACTGCCCTGGGAGGCCTACATTGGAGAATATAAATTCATGAATTTGTAGTATTATCTTTCCTAATTTTCCTGACATTCAGTTTATTGATTCGATGTTATTTAAACAACATTAATGTTGTTAATGGCACTAATTCATTCATTCACTATAATGTATATATAACTGTAGAACCTGATGAGGAGCAGGTTTTCGAAAAGAGTATTCTTTGTTTAATATCCATTCTTTTGAAAATTTCAGAAATGTTTTCAGCTTGAGGACGATTCGAATGGTCTCACAGTCCTCTTCGATTGAAATAAACACTCTGAATGATGCATGTTGTAATTTGCTGAGTAAATTCTGATCAATAAGGCTTAGTCGTTAACGGAGTCAAAAATTAGGGAAAATGTGGTGATATTTCCCGTTAGTTACTAAAGCCAAGCTAAAATTGTGAGTTGTAAAAGTCCGTATCCCACATATCATTCAGTCGCATCAACTTCTTTGGTAAGAACAAGTTGACACCATGTTGTTTATGGGAGGCTTGTTATCCCCTGAAGGTATGTTAATATCCTGTTTCTCCGACTTTCCACATACTGCTGACAGCAATAAATCTGTGGATAGATTTATATGTTATCTATTCATTTGTTTCATCTCTAAACTAATTCAAGTGCATTATCACAACTAGGAAAAACAAGATTTCTTGTGTGACTATGCGTGCCGAACAGTACTCTGAAATCTGTGACTGACACTCGACAGTATTTATCCTTGGTCTTTTTGCAGTATACATTCCTTTCTAGAAAGAAACAGTACATTCAAATGTTCAGTAAATGTAGATTAGAAATCTGGATTGAGGTTTTAACCAAATAATCTGCATTCTGGAAAAATTTTCACAGACTCAAATTCTATTCAGTGCAAAAAATGAATAGTCGTGTAATTCTGTTTCGTTATAAAACACTTCTCACTCCATCTCATGCGTTTGAATCAGATTAATTTGTAGGATTTCAATTTTTCTTATATTCGATTAAATCATTTTAGCGGTGAAACCATTCAGTTCAGTCATATCTTTTCAATAAAATCTTTAAAAGTCTTGGAAGCCACATCCCATAAAACGCTAGACACTTTGCAAACAGGCTGATTACAAAATGTGGACCTCATTCTAAAAAGAAATCATTGGAGGTGAAGTGATGAGACACTGTGTTACAGTTTAGTCTTTTCTATTACTTATGAGTAAACTGTAAATGAATTCTTAATGAAAATGTCTCTGCTTTCCCTCAGAATCAGATTCAACATGAAAGCCTGTTAAGCTTTTTGTGATATTCCGAGTTGATCAGAATCTATGAATCGGGTAGAATGAAGTAAAATCAACAAGAATACGTTTTCAGGACAGTGTATGTAATTGTGTCTTTGCTGTTTAAGTGTATGTCTACTAGTATACACAGTTGCAGTCTAAATTCAATGAGAAAATTCCGATGGAAAACAGCAAAAATAGCACAAACATAGGCAACCAGCATTAGTCTGGTTGAAATTCACCTACACGTTTGTATTCTGTATTGATTTCATCCAAATCAAAGTAGTCCACTTCACAAAATGTCTCAGTTATATTGTTTTTATCAATTGGTTGCCTGTTAATACATATACAATTAGAAAAATAACAAGAGATAAATACGGTTTATTTTTGGTGTATTGAAATTTACAGACAGGAACAGACTATAGAAACTGAGATGTAATTTCACTATGGAAGGTCTTTCCTGGTACATCAGTATTCTATGTTTGCTCCAGTTTAGTATATCCCTATAGCGTGCACTCTCAATGCACCCTACGTGAGCGTTATTCTGTGGAGCGGATGAAGAAAGTTGGTTGCCACTTCAGTGCTTAAACTTTGCGGGAATCCAAGTGGTCTTGAATAAAACTATAAACAAAGTTGAATCAAGCTTTACAAAACGCTGTAGACTTCAATATTTTTACACAGTGTAGGTAATAAGGATCCAATTTAGTGAACAGCAATACATTTTCCGTAATATTATCTTGTATTTTTTTTCAGCAAAATGTTTTCATAAAGTTATAAGGTTTTACTCAGGAGGCTGTCTGACAACTAGATCAACATTCAGTCATCTGTTGTTCTAAAGCTGAAATATTTTGGTGTTTAGTGACTTTCTATCTTTTTTGACCTCAACTGTCTGTCAACAGTTTTGAGCAAAGCAGTATCTGAATTACTAGCCAACTGTAATATGATGTAAGTCACAGTATTCTTGATTTACACTTTATGATTGATCATAACTAGAATGACGCCTATTAATGACAAATTTGACTTGATGGAAAACATGCAGACTAAAACAGAAATGCTCACTAGTAGAATTCAGGTTATGTATGTTATTATCAAAGATACGAATAATATAAAATGTTGTGTAGAAATTAAAATACCCTTCAAAGCATCCACTTACTTTGATAAATATCCATTTAAAAGTCGAGCTTCAGTTATTGAATAATTTTTATTTTCATCTATAAAGAATTGCTTTTCTTCTCCAAAAAGATTTATAATAATTGGTGTTGGCAATCGTACATCTTTGATTGTGCATAATAAAATCTGTCGGAATTCACCTTGAGTCGCAGTTTTAATATCTTCACTCAACTGTCTTCCAACTAAAATATTGAAATGATTGTCATTTAGTATTATCGTAAAACTATACTATTTGACATTGTCAGTGACATTTACACAACATATATATGTGTAACATTAGGCTATTAAAAGCCAAAAAAATCAGTACAGCAGGATAGAATTGCCCCAGAAGCTCCAGAAGAGAACCCGGAGTCGATAGGGGATATGCCCGCACCACCATTACAGAATGCATAGAGAGAGGAGAAGGTGCTTCCCGAGTAAAAGACAGGTTACCTTTAGAATGTGTCAAAAAAGGGCGACATAAGTATATTGAAGTACTGGCTCGACCTGATATTCCTGTCTATCGAGTGAAGAATCCTAAGTCGCCTAGTCCTGGAAAGTCTGGAAGGTGCTTCTGATTGAAAAATTCACCCCGAGCAAGCTCTGTTTAGAGTGAACATGTTAAACGCGGTTCAAATTACAATACTACGCATTATCGTCTAATAGAGTATGGAATAGCAGTCAACTGTGTACCTCAACTTCATCGACTTTGCAAATGCCTTTGACAGAGTTGACTACCGAATAATTTGGCATCTGATCTAGCAATACGTAACTGAGTACGCAGACATTTATAAGCCACATTCATTAGCTATATGCTGACTCCGTATATCAAACAACTCACGAGGGAAAGTTCTACAAAGAGGCAAGAGAAATAGAAGACTGTATATTATCATTTTGGGAGTGAGATAGTTTATGCTTGAAGACGCACGAACTTGGAGATATACAAATGAAGAACAGAAAAGTTGTCAGAATACTCAGTGAAGACAGGATTTCAGTTGAAAATAGCGAAGATAAGGGTGACAATGATACCCAACATGAAGTAATAAATGTCAACAACCATCAATGGGAAAAATCTATGTGAAGTCATATCTTTCGCTTTTCTGACCTAGAGAGAACTGTCTCAGTTATACGCAACGTGAATAAGGATACGAAAGCTAAGTAGGACTCAGTGGGGAGAGGGAGACTGTCATTCAGCACTCTGAAATAACTGTGGAGATCTAATGCACGTAGCTCATGGAACAAGAAATCGAATTTTCAACATTAATATCAGGTTAGTGCTTTGTGTAGTTCGAAGATTTGGTGAGAGAGTCCTAAAAGCATTTCCAACAGTCCCAAGACTCTGATTGACACGTCCTTTCACTTGATACAATAGACCAGATGATCTGTCAGAGAGAATAAGCAACAAGGAACTGTGGAAGCTAACCAGCTGAACAAATATTCCAACGGAAATGGAGATTAATGGTATGTACACTTCACACTGTCCACTTAAAGCCGGACTAGAAACGGCGGTGTGTCTGTTAATGTACGACACGAAGGAGATCATGCGAGGGGGAGATGAAAGCTTGTGGGTGGTTGTAAGGCTAGCTGAAAATGATTGTAGGGGACAAAGTCTACAGTGGAGGTGTGCTAATGCAGCTCTATGTCCCTCTCAAAATGCAAGCAATGGTAATATATCTGTATAAATATGTGTCAGTTTATGAGGAATGTACTGAATTTAGTTGTTATACTTTTTTAGGTTAGATGTCATCACAGACCAATATTAGTTGGAGAATCATTAAATCCTAGGCACCACATGACACTTGTTGCATTTTACTTTAGGATCAGATCTTCGCGCCGACACCTCTACCAGGGATTTAACTTAGTGTCTTCAGGCTCTGTGGCCATCTGACTGTCAGTTCAGCCAGTGGTATACAATCCAGTGACCAAACTTCTGCTAGTCTGCACGACAGCGCTACAGACAATCAAAGACATCAATTAGTTCCTGCATCACACGTAGCATCAAAAACACCACCAGCGTCAAATATTCATTATGACTGCAGGACATCAATCCCTAAGCTGCTAATAGCCAGGAGATTGATATTGAATTTCCGGGTTTTGTAGGGACTGTAGAATAATCTAAATATGGATTCCGTGATGAAATTATATTATGTTATAATGTGTGTACGATTGAGAAGAGATGTCTCAGTGGCTAAAAAAAGGTTTTTGAATTCCACTTTGCCTAACATTGTCTTACAATAATCTAAGGTGATTAAAAGTCGTACAGTAGGTATCATTCATTATTCGGTATACAAAACATTCATCAACGATAATGAAAACGGCTTAGAATTTTTCATTCAGTTAATCTACCGGCAAAAAATAAGACAATCATATATCAGATGTTGTGTTTATAGAGGTTTCATCAATACCATGGTGATACTCATTTGTGCATAAGTTAATTGGTATCTGTATAACTTGCTGACTGATATTAGTTTATACGCTTTAATATATGGAGATATCATATTTCAGGGGAAATGCTAAAAAAGTGATCTACTTTAAAATGTACACCGTGTCACGACGCTTGTTTCAACATACGTTTATATTTGATACTGGTTATATAGCAGTTTCAAGGACTGAAAATAAACTCCATGTTACTACGTTATTCAAAAGACATAGGATTATGATTTAACTGGTATTTGAATAGCCTAGCCCTATGAAATCCACTTTCAGATGTTTCGAGTGTTTGAGTTTTGTTTCTTTCTATTTTAAACAGTCATATCTATTTTCAACATAATTTGAAAGTATACAATGAAAGTTAGCTTGATATTAGACGGTTGGAAGCAATCAGTAGGAAGCTCCTTCTGACCTAGGTTTCGTGTTAATTGGCACTCTTCAGCAAGGCATATCTGCAGCCTTGAAGGAACTCATGTCGCTTCTGAGGTTCGAACTCACGTCACTGAGTGCTTATTATTAGCAAAGTTAGCTAACTGCATTTAGTTTATTAACTGATATCACCATGGTTATGTAATACTGTATAATAACTTTAACAGGCATCAAGAGGAAAAATCACTTATGAAAACGTATGTGTGAATATTTAAATGATTACAAAGCAATCAGGCGGCTAAATCATTTTTCATAGTAAATGAAAAACAAACAAATATTTCAAGTATTACAGGATTGTAAATGTACTTTGCACAAAACATATAAAAAACATACCTTGCTTCCCATATAGTTCAACCAATTTATTCAATTCCTCTTCGACAATACTAACAAGTATTTGCATCAAAGTTGTCTTGTCTTTTAGCTGAACAGCGAACTGGAGTTCTTCTATTAAATAATCTGGTATATCTTTTAAAAGATTCAACATAATTGTCTTGAAATCAGGATCTTTTAGACGATTCATTCTTTCAACTAAAGACTATAAATGAAAACACGGATATTTCACGTTGATTTACACGACTAATTAGATGACAGCTATATGCTTAATAATGGTTATAAAAGTAGGATGTGCTGTGGCGAGCTTTTACATGCAAAATCCAGTTTGTTTTCAGTTGCAGGCGTTTACTCAACCACTTAATATGTTTTACACTATATTGGTAATTGTGTGATGTAGTCAACTCCTCGTTAACTGTTCCATTAATTGATAAGTCAGGAAACGTCTCCGTATTTTAGTTTCCATGACTATATATTTAGATAAGATAATCGAAACCGCTGACTTAAGCTCACCACTGGTGATTTCAGCTTCGTGGTGGTTGATGCTCATTTATGAGAGGCTTTTATGCGAGATCCTGAGAGCATAGAAACTAAATTAAAGCAATGAACTCGAAACACCTCTTGTCTGACAGTGCGAGCTGTAAACTATTTCCTGTTAAATAGAATTTAATACATTCGTTTGTCACGAGTAAGTTACCTAGATTGTGTTATATAGATTAGAACACTTGAAAGATTTATCCTTTAAATTCTTAATGTGATAATTCTTTGAAGAATTTCACCGCCATTTGTGCGATATCATCCCATGTCAAATGATCAGCAGAAACCGACAGGTGGCTAAAAACTATGAGGAAATGTCACATAATCAACATCCTTTAAGAAAAGATTAAATTTCACCTGCTAATATTCGCTGCTAAACACTAAAATATTTAATACCTTAAGCTATTAGCAGCATATACTTATGCAAGTTGGTGAATGTAAGTAACTAACCTTGATAACGATAACAATAGCTACGAATAGTATGCCACCGAAATTTCCACCTCACATATCGGTCTATCAGACGGGTTTTGATAATTTAATAGCGTCTAGTTTGCCTCAGATCTCTTTACTTGCGGAAATGCAATGGACTTGTCTGTTTTGAGAAGTATTTTTAGCCTGAGTAGGAAATATTTAGGCATAAGAATACAATGATTTCTCCAGCTATTTAGTGGTAAGTCGTATCAATGGTTTCTTCAATAAAATGATTTAGGTTTGCGTGTATTTGACAAAGTGAAGGGAAATTACGTCATAGACTTGTCTAGTCTTCCACCTTGAATTTAAAAACGGTGACCTGTTAGGAGTTTCCGTGCCAAAAAGTATTTTCATTGTCAACTAACTAGAAGTAAACCATTAGTAAATATGAAGAAGAAATATCAGTAATTCGTTTAGTACATTTTAATTCATCTAAGTGATAAAATGTTTTGAATTTTGAACACAGTCTCCCAATGAATGATTCAAAGAACTTCCAAATTCATTATAAGATACCTCACTACTAGTCAAGCTAATAGACAGAGTCCTGTACACACCATTTTGAAGTCTGGGTGATTGTGTGCAGAACAGAATTCGAAATAATATGTTTGTCTGGACTTTATTGATGTTTCGTGGAGTGGGTTCATTCTAATCAGATCTTACCTTTTTAAATAGTCTCGAATATATCCTCTGTAGTTCTTGTCGTTCGAAATTCGTTCTTCGAGCCAAAATGCAAACAATTTCATCGACATCTAATGAAAAATTTCAAACACAATGAGTGCTCATACATTATTCAACTAATCAAATGCAGTATGCTCCTATTTGAATGATTCGGATATGTTTACATTTATTCTCATTTTTGCCTGCATTAATGGAATAAGGAATACTGAAATATTGAATGCAATCTATGCATAGTCATTTTAATTTGTGAGAATATGATGAAAACACATGATCGGCGAATATTAGTATAATAGTGTAAACTTGACAACGCTTATCTTCAAGACGCTGATTTGAATCAGAAAGGGGGATATACAAGTGTGATACACAGTCACATGCGTGGTGACTGTCATTCAACTTCCCTCTCTTTTACATACTAAAAATCACGAAAAACTGCTGTACCTTAGTTTGAGAAGTGGTGATATCCACGTCAGGCTTTGAGCGCCTTCTTCAGAACATCGAGAATAAATATGATTGTTAAGGTTTGAATTCAAAGAAGGACGGTGTCATTTGCATAATCTTTAAAGCTTGTGTATTATACTTACATGATTTCAGTTCCTTTTGACAGATGGATATAGTCAGCGGAAGACAGTTCGACGCGATTACTAATCGCATTATGATGGCTAATTATACACCACAATATGCAATCATTTGCATCGGCAAAACAGATGCTACCCAAATAAAGATTTTTACTTTAAAATACTACCTGATATATAAATAATAAGCTTATGCTTGTGGCACACACTGTAAACTAATAACATAAAGTGATTTTCAAGAGTTGGTTTGTAAGGATTAGATTTGTTTTTAGGAGTCAGAATTCATCGACCATCAAATCGGGTCCCAGTGGCTGAATGTTATACGAGCTTGCCTTGTAACCGGAAGGTCCTGCGTTCGAACTCCCTGTGGGGGGTGCGTACTACCGATGATTCCTAAACTAGGATGAAACAGCTGTCCAATACCCTCTGGTTTTCAGTGGTTCTCTAACTGATATCAATTCGTGGTCAAACTCGTAAAAATAAAAGTAATTTGTTCAATTCAATTCAGACTATATCAACATGACTTTTGCTAGACAAAGTTGTCAATTAAAACGTACTCAAACATAAGATGCTTTGAAGTAAAAACAAAAATACATGATTGTCTAATTTAGTATTCGTATTATATGTACTGTTTAATCTCACCATTGCATTTGATAGCTACATGCATTGCAAAAGCATCATAGTAAGACTGATAGTATATTGATGGTGTGTACAATTTCCCATTTCCGACAAAATACTGAAAAAAGTTTCGTTCTACACCAAATCTAAATCAAATAACCAACATTGTTATCGTTATTTATGGTTAAATGATTGTTTAACACTAAAACAATGAATGTATAGCACTTACAGTAGATTACATATTTGTCTTTGAATTATAGTGACATCAATACTGAAGGGTCTGTTCCGTTGACCTTCAGTAGAAGTCGTCTAATTTAATACAAACATTACAGCACAAATTGACTCTTCGTTTCTGAACAATACAGGTTATCTAGAGTTCTGGAATAATAATATACTCTAAGTAGGCCAATAGTGACTTTGACAGTGGTAAAGTATAATACTTGTTCGCTTTATAGGTGTGTTTGATGTGATCAAACTAAATGGATGGCTCCTGTGTTCATCCAACCTCAAGTTACATTTCATATATGATTTTGAAGTTTCTATAAAATTCATTTATTTTGTTGTTCACGTAACAAGTAAACAGTCAGTTATTATTATTATATCCTTTAATTCTTAGAGGAACATAGGGCTTCAGCTGCGCATCTCCATTGCCTTCTGTTTTCTGCCAACTTTTTCACCCCGCTCCAAGTCTGCCCACATGCTTTCATTTCCTCTTCACATGTTCTCCTCCAAGTCACCCTCGCACTGACGACCAACTCGCCGCTTCCCTTTCGGGTTCCACTCAAGCAATTGCTTGTCTAGTGATGTCACTTGATGGTTTTCTCATCGTATAGCCAATCCATCTCCATTCCTTCCGGCCTATTTGTTTCAAAATCGGTTCCTGGTTGGTCTGCTCATTTCCAGAGATCCCTGTTGCTGATCTTTTCTGGCCGGCCATCTGATCCTGAGTATTGAGCGAAGACGACTGTTAATGAAGGTCTGAAGTTTGTTTGAGATGCTCTTTATGACGCGCTGGCCAAGTCTCTGATCCGTATAGTGAGTAGCATTGACTTCACATTGGAGTTGAAAATCCGGATCTTATTTTCATTTTGATGCTGAGTGCTGTTGACCTCCAGACAGACTTAAGAGTAATTAAAGCTTGTCTTGCTTTTCCAGTTCTGGCTTTGATATCCTCGTCAGTTCCGTCAGCCTGTAGTTGAAACGATACTTCCCAGGTAGGTGGATAGGTAAAGGAGGTTGTTTCTTTCAGGTTCCTCCCATTTATGCTGAATCAGAACACTCTGCTAATTTGGTTGGAAAACTTGTGAGAGTTGCATTCATTATGGGTAAAGTTTGTTTTAATAAAGTCTCACAGTGTTACTGATTAAATTATTCTCTACCACAGTGCACAAGTTTCATTCTTATATCAGAGTTGCATTCATTTTAACCAGAATTTTTAAATGCACTATTATCAACAACAGAATGACAAAAAGTCAGATCCACTGCATAGTTACTTCTTTCTACTTTATCATATTTCAGTAGTGCCTGGTATTTTCGTGATGATGGTAATATATCTGTCGTGTTTGAAGTATGATCGTCAAACCCAATTATAGGTTACCATTTGTAAATATTTGCACTGATAACATAAGCATAAATTCAGCTGATAAGAAACTAAACTTGATGTAGATTCTGTTTTTGTCATCATTCATTAGAAATGAATTTCAGTAGTTTTTGGGACACTTACATTCTCACTGAGATTCCATTTCGTAACACTTATTACCAAAGACAGCAACTTTAGTCAAATTAAATCTCTGTCATTACTGACGTACTTGCAACCAATCACTGTAACAATCTGAAAACCTATTCGCAGACATTATTAAGTTTTCTAGACAGTCAATAATGAAATGACAAGCGTGATGTTCAGTTCTGTATCTTACACATTGGGTAGTGGAAATTCAAATACGTTTATTCTATCAGTTAAGTCGAAATCATAAATGTAAATAAGTGCGAGATGTGCAAATCTGTTTAGTCATTTAGTGCATTCTTCTTATTGATTACTAACAAGAATATAAGTACATTAACAACAGACTAAAAGCCTCAAACCTGTTCGAAGTGATTTTCCTAATGTCCCATATAGGAGGACTAACTTAACATTTGTTTTGAAAATCCGAATTTTGCTCTTTATGCTGAGAACAGAAGATTTCCAAAGTGGTTTCAGATTGATGGATGTTTGTCTTGCTTCTTCGATGCTGGTTTTAACATCTCTATCTGTGCCGCCTGTAGTTGAAATGATGCTGCCTAGATAAGTGAAAGAAGCGACCTCTTTCAAATTATC